TCTTCTCTTCATATTCAGATGTTTCTGAATTCAGTCATTTTCTTATAGCTGCTTGAGTTTCTGATAGAAAGTCTATTAAGTATTTAATTCCTGTCTCAGTTGAGAATAAGAATCTCATATTTAATTAATTTAGATTATACTTCTCTTTCAATCTGACTCTGAGACTATTGTATAATGCACAGTGTATTACAATATACTCAGAATTCTCATTTGCATTGCAGAATGAGTATTCTATTAAATCAAATCTATCATCAAATCTTTATATATAAGATTTGAAATAGCCATGTTCTAATTTCAGCTGTATTATAGATGAGAATATTTTCTTTTCACATTTAATTGAACAAGATTTTCACTTGGGTTTTGTTTCAAATCTTGAATAATATATACTCTTCTTTTGTTTCTACCAGCTTTTATTTCACTTGTCTAAACAAGATTCTTTTATTTTTCTCTTTATAAAAGGCCAGAACATAATTTTTTGAATAGATCTGCTTAATTCTGAACCTTTTTTTACAGCTGAATCAGTCAATTCATTGCCATGAATATTCATATAAGTAGGAACTTAGTGCAGATGAATTATCAGCTTTGATATTCTTCTCTTTTGAATTTTTAAAATGAAGTTTAAGATCAGTTCAAGATTCATTTGATCATGATAAATCTGACTATTTCTAAGTCCTTTTAAAGCAGCTTGACTATCAGAGAATATTCATACCTCTTTCAAACTATTTTCTCTTTTGTGATTCGGAAGAATGTACAACCGCCGGATAATAACGCGGCCGCTTCTGAACATGCCTCTCAACATGCTTACAAATGTAAAGGGGCTCTAGCAGCCACTAATTAATTTAGATAATATATATAAGAAGCTGGCGTACACCTGTAATCATACACTGACTCAAGCAACCTTTGAATCACATCTGATAGCATGTCTAAAAATCAGTGAGAAGTACAGACTTCTTCAGAGCATGATAATTTCATCTATGAAGTGATTTATAGTTATCATATCAGTGTGATTCTAAAAACATCTCAAAAGATAGTGTATGAAGAGCAGTGAGTGAAAGAACATTTGATTAATACTGCTTCACTTATTAAGAGAAAACTTCATACTCAGATGAATATCATGTATTGTATACAAATAAATAAGATATGAGAAAGAGAATGAGAGTGATGAACCAGATTCAAAGAAGTCTACTCTCTATCTAAAAGAAGAATAAAAAGAGAGATGATTATCACTGAAGTTGTGTAATAATAACAGAAATTATATAATAATATAGTAATATAATGATAGACATTGTATAATCAATAAGAAATCACAGAAATGAATATCTTTTCTAGTTAATATAAACACTATTCTCTGCTATCTGAACTGAAACATATGCAGAATCTCTCAGAGAGTTTACTTAAAGTAGTAAGAAAAGTAGCTAAGATCACTGAATCAGAATCAAAGCTCTATATATGTATGAGAATTCTAAATAAAATCAAGACCTTGTGTATGCAGTGACAGACTGAGACAGAAGTTAAATAACAATTGACATTCACTGTGAATTAAGCATTCACTATGAAGAGCTTCACTGATGCAATTACTATTATCAATAAGAATAGAGAAAATCAGATCTTAGACCTGCAGTGAGAGATTGAATGTTTACACAGATAGATAACTATATCAAATCTGAAGATCTTACTATAATTATTCACAATCTCTTCAGAAGTGTATATATTATCTGAGACTGCTACACAGAATGAGAATCTGAACATGAGATATATCAAGCTAAGATATCTGTCAGAGTCATTAAGTTTTAATAGTAACTGAACAAATAATGCTGCAATCAGCTGACTAAGTCAGATGTAATTATATTATCAGATTAAATATAGACTTACAGATAGACAGTTAATGGAATTTTAACAAGTCTTAAGATCTGTTATATTTCTATGTAGAAAAGTGAAGTTATTATAAGTAACTGATGAAAAGATAAATCTTACAGATCTGAAATAATACTCATTCTTATAAATATGAAATAAGTTTTTCAAATGAATCTTACACAACTTTGAGAAAGTGAATATATAAGATAAGTATTATAAATAGTTCACTGAGTGTAGATAAGTGAGTAATCTTATATTATACTTCACACTCTTCAGCTTATACTATCTCACATTGAATGAAGAGCTTTCAATATCTTTCTGTTTACAGATCTTCATTCATAATCTTACATCTGAGTTGAGAGTGAAATGAAAATACTTAATCTCATAGTCAGACATAGTGAAGAAAGTATATGATATTCTTATTATACAGAAACAAGTGAGTCAACTGCAACAGAAAATACTGTAATCAAGTATATGTCAATGAAGAATGAGTAATCAGACTTCTATAACATAAGTCACATATCTGAATGCAATGAATCTAGATCTGAATGTCATCACTAAAGTGCTGAATTCTCTGAAAAAGAGATTCTCTAAGTGAAAATGTTGATATTATGAGTATTGAGTGTGCTTCAACTATGAATGTCAGAATCATGATATAAAGAATTATACACAGCATGCACAGTCAAGAGAAGTAAGAGAGTTAAAAAACTAGCAGAATCAGTGAGCTCAGAGACACTTACTGATATTCTATAAAAAGTCTTCAAAGTGAAAGAGATATCTGTGTTAGATAACTCTCTGAATTCTGTAAATATCAAGAGAAAGCAGGCTTCTGAATGAGATGTAAGTGAGAATGAAGCAGATACTCATCTCAATATCTTGAGACCTGAAATATTAATGTATAAGAGACACTTGAGTAAGAATTGAGAGATGACTGTAAAAGTATTAGCAGACACAGAAGCTTCTACATAATATATTAATAATTATATAATTCAAAAACTGAAAGAGGTTCACTGAGTGAAGAATTTCTGATATATAAGATTATCTAATAATTAATATTTGATATCATCTGTAAGAGTAAGAGTTCTCTTACACTTCAGAGAATAATCTTACTATATTTAAGTATGAGAGCTGCAGAATGTGAAATACAATCTTATTCTTGAACTCAATTAATTTCAAAGATTCAATCTGTAGATTCAATAACATACATATTATATACAGTAAACTGATAAGAAGAAAACAGTTCATATGATTCTATCAACTGGTATGAGAAGAACATTTCACATCTCTGATATAGAAGAATTAAATATAGTTATATATCAATAAGTAAAGAGAATGATTCACAAGATCTCATCTGAAAGCATTCTGTATATCATACAGAACTTAGAAGTGAAGAAAACTAAGATAAAGAATATGTAGAAGAATAAGTATATAAAGAAGCTTCTAAAAAAGTATGAGAAGATCTTCTAAACAGATCTTTCATCAGAATTGCTGCTGAAATGAGGATTTATACATGAGATTGATATGAGAGACATGAAACCAGTCAATCAGAATATGGATTCTCTGTTATAAACACATCTCAAAGAACAGAAGCATCAGATCACAGACCTTCTAGAATATAGTCTCATACAATTCTTATCAAGTATGTGAGACTTTGCAGTTCTATTGATGAAAAAGACAAATGAAGAGTGATGAATGTGTATCAATTATCAAGCACTTAACAAGCTTATAATCAAGAATGAATATTCACTGTCATAGATTCAGTAACAGTTAAATATGATTGAAAACATCTGATATCTATCAAAGATTGATCTTCTTCCAGAATACTGACAGATCTGTATAGATGAACTGTCAGTTCTGTGAACTGTATTTAGTATATAATGAGAGAAGTTTGAATTCCTGATAATATTATTCAGTCTGATAAATGCACTCATTATCTTTCAAATAATAATGAATATAATTCTTCATAAATAGAATGAAATCTTATATCTTGTATATCTCAATGATATTCTAGTCCTTTCAAACTCATACAATGAATATCTGAAGTATCTTGATAAAGTGTTTACAACTCTGACAGAGTATAAGCTCTATATTAAATCAACAAAGTATGTGTTTGAAATGAAAGAGTTAGAGTTCATAGAACATGTAGTGAGTGATGACTGTATATATCTCATTCTGAAGAAATTGAATGTCATAGTGAACTGACTGTAGCTGAGAAACATATATTAAGTATAACAGTTTCTTGAATTAATCTCATATTACTGTAGATTTATCAAGGATTTTATATGAATATCTGCATCACTCTCAGATCTCTTAAGAGAAATAGATATAAATCTGTGAAAGAAGAAGTTTTAATCAATTATCTGAAATACTGTGTGTGAAGAGGCTTTTGTCACACTGAGAGTGTAATTTAAAGATTGCTTAAGCCAGCGTACAATTACAGACATACGCCGGCTTCTTATATATTGTAATATTGTACACTAACTTAATTAGTGACCGCTATGGCTCTCTTTACATTTGTATGCTAGCAGTTCAGAAGCAGCTGTGTTATTATTCAATGATTATACATTCTTTCAAATCACATTCTCTCTCACCAGATTCAGTCATGCTCATATAACTATGTCATATACTCTAGCTTCATACAGATTAGCTCATCACTAGTGTTTCATAATCATGTAATCTATTTCTGATTTGACTAGTGTTCTGTGTACACTCTCACAAAGAAACTTTCACTATATTACATCACTCATTCACTAACTTTTCTCATTCTTCAATTATCATCTTCATCATCATCATCATTGAATGTTATCATCTTATTCAAGATTTCTATTTCTTCTTCTGTTCAACTCTTTTCATCTGTCTCTCTATCATATTATATGTGTTTCTGGCAATGACTCTCTATTCTCACAACAAGTGTCATTGTAGTGCTTATACTGAGCAGTTCATTAGCAGTAAGTGTAACACATTGTGAAACATGATCAGAACTTGTTTATCTTCTAACAATCACCAGAATGTATTATCATGAATGACATACCTTTTTTATCTTCTCATACATCTCTGACTGTTTCCTTCCACGGGTTTCTGATCATGTTTTCTGACACGATTTTATATGAACACAGATGCTGATATGTTTGTTTTTATTCATGTAGAATCTTCACACATTGACAGATCTGCATCTGCTGATGATAGTGAACCTGATGTTAAATCATTGATTGAGAACTTGAAGAATGTGATAATGAAGAAATTGTCTGTGTTATGTATAACTGAGTCTCTCATATCTCTTCTTATCTCTTCTGCTGCTTCTTTCTCTACTGCTTCTCTCTCTGTCTCTTTCTCTGCTACTTCTCAATCTTCTATACTTGTCTCTATGTCTGGTTCTCCTGCTTCTGCTATCTCTGTTCCTGTGACTCTCACTTCTGTTACTTCTGATTTTGTCATCTCTGCTTTCATTACCAGCTCTCCTCATTTTCAGGAGATATTGTGTAGACTTAATGAACTATGTTTATCAGTATGTACACTTCTGTCTTTCTTACTGACTTCTAGAATAATTTATTGTACAAAGACTGTGTATGACATGACTATCTAAAGCTCAGTCACAGACACTGATTATTATATTTATTTTAAATATTTATGATGAGAAAATCATTCATTTATATCAGAGAATTGTTCTTCTTCTTAACAGTGTTAAAATCATAAGTCTTTTTCTTTTCATCTTTTCTTTCTGACACTGATTTTCCTGTTCTTAGAGAAAATTGTTATGAGTTTTACTGTGTATGAAGTCATGATATTCACAGATATCAAGAAACTTTTCATGACTGTTAAATTCAATATTGCAGATACACCTGCTCTGATAAATATCTTTGAAATGATTAATCTGTATCAGTCTATTCTCTGACATTTATCATCTGACTTTGTGATGCAGGTGAAGAATATTCATATTTTTGAGAACAGAAATGCAGATGTCATACTCTTTTACATCTGTGAGTGTGAGGCTCATACATCTTATCTGAGATATTGTTATGAGAATGAGCTGTTCACACACTGCATTCTGCTTTCTGTATTTCTATGTGTCTCTCTCTCTCTTTCTGAGAAGCCTTGTACATGTTGTAATTACACATACAATTCTAAGACCAGTGAGTGTTCATTCAGTAATTGTTATCCCTACTTTTACAATTTTCATATATTAACAATGATTCTTAGTTGCTCTGATGTCAGAGATTATTCTTATCAAAGATAATAACATTACTGAGACTATTTCCTTCTACTCTTAAGCTTCTTCTGTCACTTTCTCTTTCTTCTCTGCAGAGAAGATTGTATACACACTGAGTTATAAGCATTCAGCACTGAGTGACTCTCACTGTTGTTTATTCAGTTCTGTTTCTCTCTCTTCTGTTTCTTCTGCCTCTGCTTCTTCTGCTCTGACTTCTGGTTCTATGAGTTCTGCACTCTTCTTCAATTTCTCTATGTGTACACGTACACATTTCTATATTAGCATTTCAGCAAATCTTGTGATAAATGACATTAATGTTATACACAGAGCAGTAGAGGAATCAGAGACATGTGTGACATTATTATAAGAGCAGCTTATAGCTCTCAAATCTCTTGCAGACCTTGAGTTTTGAGATTTCCTTTGTTTTGATATTTTTCAGATGATATGATATTGAAAATAGATTAAATATATGATGTATGAAAATAAATGAGATATGTATAATAATATTTGTCTTTTACAGCTGACTTTTACAGTTGATGATCAATTCATTATCTCTTTTCTTATACTTTTTCTTTATCTGCTAGTCACTACTCTTATACAACCTCTATATAATACAGTATTCAGTGACTAGATTCAGCAGCTTTCATCTTTTATAATTCTATCTCATACATTATACTGTCTCTCTTCACCTGCTTAGATCACTACTGTGAACAGTTCATCAAAACTAATCTCATCTGATCTCTGAGCATTCTCAGAGGTTGAGATGACTTAATCTCACACATCTGCAGATGTTTCAGATAGTTCATCCTCTGTAATCTTCATAATTAAACTGATATAAATAGTCAAATTTAACTCTGAATTTCTTTTTCTTTTGTGATCTGACTCATGTGCAAGTCTGCTGCTCTGAGACTGCTCTTTATCACATTGTGTCTGCTGTCTGCAGTGTGTTATCATACAACTGGCTACAGTTTTATTACTTATTAAAGTATGATATTTATCTGATTTCTTCATTGCTTCTCATTCTTTTCTTATAATTATGAAAAGATCAGAATAAGTGAGATTATCTGATTTGTAAGCATCTATGATTTCTCTTACTTCATGAGACTTTTTAATTATAAGTCTCTTCTTTTTCAATGCTGATGATAGTGCTGTGAATAATCATAATCTGCTTAAGTCTTACATCTTTGCTTTCATAAGTTATAAATCATTGATTAAGTTGTATAAGATCTGTTTCTCTGATTCTTTCAATGCATACATTCTCAGAGAATGTGATTTAAGTATTTTATATGACTTAAATCATCTAGATTGAAACTTCTCAGAACTCTTATTATGTATAAGAACTCACATTTCTATCTTAAGACTTGATTTCTTAACTAGTGAGTCTCATATTCTTTTTGATTGAATTGCTTGATTCAGAAGTAACTTGTTAGCTTTTGCATGTGTGTGGCTGATCTCTTTCAATCTTAGTTCTGTGTCTGTGACTGTTGCATCTGCAACTGCTGTTCCTGCTGTGTCTGTAACTGCTGTTCCTGCTGTGTCCGCAACTGCTCTCTTTCTCACCTTTTTCAAAGCATTCTTCAGAATGCGCGGATGCAATTCATACAACAGGTAGAATGGTGAATACTTGAAGACTGCATGCTGTTGAATTCATGTGACTAATAGCACCTGCCTGAGATATTCATCTCATAGTCTCATAGGCTTGCTCACTAGATATTTTATCAGCATGTTGCCTAAGATTTTATTCAAGTGTTTCATCTTCTCATTTGTCTGTGAATGATATGGCATTGTTCTACAATGTCTTGTCTGTAACTGGCTCACAAAATGCCTCATCACTTCTTCTATGAGGTTCACACTGTTATCAGTTAGAATCTCATGCAGTATTTCATAGTTGATATAGATCTCATCATGTAGAAACTTCATCATTATCTTCTCTGTTATCTCTGAAACTGCTTTTATAACTGGTCAGTCAGTAGTGTAATCAATAGCAGTGATTATTCATTAATTTTCATTTAACATTTACAGTAATATGTCTATGAGGTTCATCTCTCATCATTTAAATGATTGTATTATATACTTCACCTGATGTTACACTTTCTTGTGTTCTAATTCTTTCTTAGATTCTTTTACAACCTGATAATTCAGGCACTTGTGAGTATATATCTGAATGTTCTCAGTCATGCTTAGTCAGTATACTCTTGATTTGAGTACACTCATGAGTTCAGAACTTTCTAAGTGACTGAATTCTTTGTGCATGTGTGTTATTAAGTCATATCTAAATAAAGATTCTAGATAGAGAGATTCTGCATATTCTAGATCATGATAAAGCATAATATTGTTTTTCAATTTTCTCAGTTTAAAGTTTAGAAGTATCTCTTCTACTACTCTTATGAGATGCTTGTTATCTGACATCTTGCTATTTTTCAAGTTAGAGATTATAGTGTTTACTCATTCTGATTTCTTGCATTCTCTCAGCATGTTTAATATAAATGTCTCTTTTATCTGATTCACAGAACCCTTACTTATGAAATTGAGTCTGTGACTGATTGTATCAGATATCACAGTGTTCAATCTCTTTCAGTATTTAATATAAAGATTGTATACTTGAAACTTCAAGATTCAATATACTAAGTATTTAGAAGATTTTATCATCAATTGTAGATAGATAAGACTTTCATGATCTGTGATCACTGTTATCATATATCTGTTATCAATATATCTATTTCATAACACTAGCACATGCTTGATCACTAGCAATTTCTTCTTATATACTGAATAATTGAGCTTAGCATCTGATAGTTTTCTATCATCATACATCATCAGATGCAGCTTGCTGTTCTTACTCATCTGTAGAAGAGTGTCTTCAATAGCTCATTTAAATGCATCTGTCTCAATGTAGAAAGGTTTATCATGATATGATTAAATAAGCACTGAGAATGTTGTTACACATTCTCTCAGTATGAGAAAAGCCTCTTTATATACAGTATTTCAGATAATTGAATGAAACTTCTTCTTTCACAGATTTACATCTGTTTCTTCTAAGAGATCTGAGAGTGATGCAGATATTTGTGTGAAATCCTTGATAAACCTGCAGTAGTATGAGATCAACTCAAGAAACTGTTGTATATAATGTACATTTCTCAGCTGCAGTTAATTCACTATGACATTCAATTTCTCTGAGATGAGATGTATACAGTCATCACTTACTATATGTTCTATAAACTTCAACTCTTCTATTTTAAACACACACTTGATTGATTTAATGTAGAGCTTATGCTCTGTCAGAGTTATAAGTACTTTATCAAGATACTTCAGATGTTCATTATATGAGTTTGAAAAGACTAGAATATTATCAAGATATACAAGACATGAGATTTCATTCTGTTTATGAAGAATTGTATTCATCATTGTTTGAAAGATAATAGACACATTTATCAGACTGAATAATATTATCAGGAATTCAAACTTCTCTCATTATATATTAAACACAGTTCACAGAACTAATAGTTCATCTATATAAATCTGTCAGTATTCTGAGAGAAGATAAATCTTTGATAGATATCAGATGTCTTCAACTGTATTCAACTGTTATTGAATCTGTGACAGTGAATATTCATTCTTGATTATAAGCTTATTGAGTGCTCAATAATTAATACACATTTATCACTTCTCACTTATCTTTTTCATGAATAGAACTGAAAAGCCTCACACACTTGATGAGAGTTATATAAGACCATGTTCTAGAAGATCAGTGATCTGATGCTTCTGTTCTTTGAAATGTGTTTGTGACAGAGAGTATACATTCTGATTGACTGGTTTTATATTCTCTGTGTCAATCTCATGTACAAATCCTCATTTCAGCAGTAATTTCAGTGAAAGATCTGTTTAAAAGATGTTCTCATACTTCTTCAGAAGCTTCTTCATACACTTATTCTTCTGTATATTCTTTATCTTAGTTTTCTTCACTTCTGAGTTCTGTATGACATACAGAATACTTTCAGATGAGGTCTTGTGAATCATTCTCTTTACTTGTTAATATGTAAGCTGATTTAATTCTTCTATATCAGAGATGTGAAATGTCCTTCTCATATCAGTTGATAGAATTATATGAATCATTTTCTTCCTATCAGTCAATTATATATAACATGTACATCATTGAATCTGTGAATTGAACCTTTAAAATCAATTAAGTCTGAGAATAAGGTTGTATTTCATGTTCTGCAGCTCTCATACTCAAATATAGCAAGATCATTCTCTGAAGTGTAAGAAAACTCTTACTTTTGCAGATAATATCAAATATCAGTTATCAGATAATATTATATATCAGAGATTCTTTACTCAGCAGACCTCTTTCAATGTTCAGATTATATAATTATTAATATATTGTGTAGAAGCTTCTGTGTCTGCTAATACTTTTACAGTCATCTTTTAATTCTTACTCAAGTGCTCTCTATACATTAACATTTCAGGCCTCAAGGTATTGAGATGAGTGTTTACTTTATCATTCTCACTCACACTTCATCTGAGAGTCTGCTTCTTCTTTACATTTGCATGATTCAGAGAATCATCTAACACAGACATCTCTTTCACTTTGAAGACTTTTCATAGAATATCAGTGAGTGTCTCTGAGCTCACTGATTCTGCTAGTTTTTTAACTCTCTTGCTTCTCTTGACTATGCATGCTGAGTGTAATCTTTCACATTATGATTTTAACATCTGCAGTTGAAGCAAGCTCAATGCTCATGATATCAAGATTTTCATTCAGAGAATCACTTTTTCAGAGAATTCAGTACTTTAGTAATAGCATTCAGATCTAGATTCATTACATTCAGATATATGACTTATGCTATAGAAGTCTGATTACTCATTCTCTGCTGAGGCATACTTAATTGCAGTATTTTCTATTGCAATTGACTCACTTATTTCTATATAATAAGAATATTGTATACTTCCTTCACTGTATCTGACTGTGAGATTAAGCATTTTCATTTCACTCTTAACTCAGATGTAAGATTATGAATAAAGATCTATAAATAGAAAGATGTTAAAAGCTCTTCATTTAATGTGAGATAGTGTAAGCTGAAGTGTGTGAAGTATAATGTAAGATCACTCACTTATCTACACTCAGTGAAGTATTTGTAACACTTGTCTCATATATTCACTTTCTCAAAGTTGTGTAAGATTCATTTGAAAAACTCATTTCATGTTTATAAGAATGAATATCACTCTGAGTCTGTGAGATTCATCTTTTCATCAGTCATTTATAATGACTTTGCTTTTCTGTGTAGAAACATGACAGATCTTAAGACTTGTTAAAATTCTGTTAACTGTCTGTCTGTGAGTTTATATTCAATCTGATAATATAATTGCATCTGACTTAGCCAGCTGATTACAGCATCATTTTTCAGTCATTATTAAAGCTTGATGACTCTGACAGATCTCTTAGCTTGATATATTTCATGTTTGAATTCTTATTCTGTACAGTGATCTTTGATGATGTATACACTTCTGAAGAGATTGTGAACAATTGTGATAAAATCTTCAAATTCAGTGTAGTTATCTATCTGTGTAAACATGTCACGCTCCCGGCCGCGCCAAGGCCCCGTTGCAGTTCCACACAGCCCATCACTTCCATGCGGATGATTCCATCCTGTCTGAACCAGTTTCCAACCACTCTATGACATCATTCAGATATATCATAGAAAGATCTGATTGATGAATATGAGAACCTCACTTCTATACAAGGTCAGCAGATTACTCTTTCTTGACAATGAGACGCTGCTGAGGTATTGCTCCAGCTATTCTCACTCATGGAATGAGAGGAGGGTATTCACCCATTGTCTATATAGAATAGCTAGATGCTGACTCCTCATAAAAGAAGTCAGTGATTCATTTTGCTGCTACTGAAATATACACAAGAGTTACTGTGTGTCTCATACAATCTTCTTAGTATACTAAGTATCATATCTGTGATATCCTTGCAATAACCCTGTAGCCTACAAGCTTGCTATTCAAGCAAGATAGTCAAGCTCACTCATACAGCTTCTCAAACAACTATCTCTACATATTGCTGCTGACTAGTCACTGCTTCAGTTCTATCATGTTACAATTCAAATTGCTTGATCTGATTACACATTTGAATCAGTCAAGCTCTAACAGACTGATATGATCTCATACACTCATACTGGGACTGATCTAATCCCACTCTCTGAAGAAAATACTACATCATTCTCTAGAGTGTGTACACCTCTACCTCAGCAGAAATCCGAGATTCCTGAAATCACTGCACATTTTGGCATGGGCCCTTCAACCACCCTGTCACCGCCGCGGCCTCTACACACCTACATCTATTATGAAGATAGAGAGATTAAGGTTGAAGATTCACTGAGATATAAGGAAAACACCTTGTCTGAATTCCACAGCTTTATCTGTATTCTTGAACAGAAATTCCACCTTAACCTGAGCCAGTATAATACTCATGAGGTATGAGTAATATATGTCATCAACCTCCTTGAAGGCATCTCTGCAACTACTTGAGTCATCAAGGAGAGAGAGCTTGAGCATATCAATGCTGTCATGACTTGAGAAGAATTCAAGAACTTTCTACTGAACTAAATCAAAGATCACTGTAATCACAGCTTCACAACAGCACAGCAGTTCAACTCATTATATCAATAAGATGATGAGAATCCTTTCAATTTCAATGTAAGATTTGAAGAATATTGAGAGAAATTGACTGATAATTTGAATCAATTAAAAATACAGCTTTATCTCACAAAGCTGACTCACAAGGTGTGAACAACAATATCACAATATCAGAGTTCATCAATCAATCACACTGAGCTTGTCAATCTGGCTTCCCAGATCTATTTGAATAATCAATTCTTTGAGAAAAAGATCAACAAGATCTCTTCTAAGCAATCAATAACAGAATCTAAACAGCATTATAATAACTCCAGTGTGAAGAAAGTAAAGAAGAATTCCAAGTATTCTGATTCTTCACTCACTGTGAAGAAACACTAAAAAAGATTTGACAAAGATCTCTGTTTCAACTGTGAAGCTGGTGATCACTATGTCAGTGATTGCAAGAAGCTGAAGAAGAGAAGGAACTGAGAAGACATCTTCTCAAAGTTGACTCCTCTTCTGACAAACATATCCGCGGAAGATAAAGAAGAGAAAGAAAAGGATTGACAATTCTCATGTCTTCAAGTTCATGTTACAATCACAATGCATACCCCGAATAGAGAGATATCAGTGAGATGCCTACTCAACTTCAGAGTGAATATCAACTTCATATCCTATTTCTTTTCTTTGATGAAGAATTGAAAGAAGATAGGTTCATCAGATCATGTGAAATTTACTGATGAAATGAAATGTCACCATTTTAACATAATTCAGACAAAGTGTGTGATCACAGACTCAGAAGAAATCTTCAAGAAGAGCAGTCTGCTCCTTCATACAGTCAACATCATAGATGAGAACATCATTCTAGGTCTTCTGTGATTGAGAGAAAACAATCCTCTCATTGACTGGGTCATCCAGGCATGGCAGTATCACCTCACTGATGAAGAGACAGTGATAGAGGAATCTGAAGAGTTTCATTGAAGAAATCTTGAAGAAAGAATTGAGTCAATATACTGTGTAGCAGATGATTGAGACTTGGAGACAGATGAAGAAGCCATCATCCTTGCTGCAAGATTAGCAGCAGTATCTGTCATTGAAGGCAGATATATACAATGTCTCTTTACAGATTTTAAGAATGTCTTTTCAGAAAGAGAAGCAGCGAAGTTTCCTGATATCAAGATGTGATATAAGATTTATCTTGAAGATGATGCAACAGTGCTGTACAGGCCTCTTTACAACTTATCTGTAAAGAAGTTGAATGTTCTGTACAAATATCTTGAAGAAGCATAATCAAAGAACTGAATATATTCATCAAAGAGTCCGGCAGGGGCGCCTATACTCTTTGTGCTCAAGAAGAATGATAGACTACACCTATGTGTAGACTACAGAGGCCTCAATAAGATGACAGTTAAGAATTGCTATTCATTACTATTAATCAATGAGATGATCAATTGATTATCTGAAGCAAAGATGTTCTCAAAGATTGATATACAGAATGCCTATCATAGAATCAGAGTTAATGAAGATGATGTTTAAAAAACAGCTTTTTATATCAAGTATAACAATTTTGAATATCTTGTTTTGTCTTTTAATCTTTGTAACACTTCAGTCATCTTTCAGGCCTATATAAATGAGACACTGCAGGGCCTTGTTGATGTCTCCTGCATAGTATATCTGAATGACATTTTAATCTTCTCAAAAATGAAGAAAGAACATGATATTCATGTTCAAGAAGTGTTGAATCACTTGAGACAGTATTAACTCTATACAAACACTGAAAAATGCTTGTTCTACATGCAGGAGATTGATTTCTTAGGTTATATTGTTGAGATGAATGGCATTTCAATGAACAGGAGCTGAGTCTCTGTCATTGAGAACTGACCAGCACCGCAGATGTACCGCGAGGTGCAGGTGTTCCTAGGATTTGCAAATTTCTATAGATGATTCATCTATGTATATTCACAGATTACTGTCTCTCTTACAGATCTGTTGAAGGGAAGTGTGAAAGACAGAAAAATGAAACTATTTATTCTCACTCAAGACACTGTGCAGGTGTTTGCAGAATTGAAACAAGCTTTCACAGATATCACAATGCTGAATCACTTTAACCCTGACTTATTCAGTCAGTGTGAGACTGACATATCTGAGAATGAGATCTGTGGAATCTTTTCACAGTTGACACTGAAGACCTTTCAACATTGAAAGAATCAGAGAATAATTACTTCTGAGAAAACAGACAATGAATTGTCTGTGAGAGAAGACTTTTTCACAGAGTCTACAAGACACTGTGAATGAAGATTAGTAATCTTCTTCTTCAAGAAGTTATCACTCACATAGAGAAGATATGATACTCATGATCAGAAGATGTTAGTAATTATCAAATCCTTTAAGATCTGATAACATTATCTTCAGAGTAGTAAGTACTCAGTGCAAGTTCTCACTGATCATACAAATCTGTGTTACTTCTTGACAACAAAGAGCTTAACAGAATGTCAAGTCAGATGAGCAGAGCTGCTTTCAGAGTATGATTTCTATATTCAATATTATTCAGGTCAGCTTAACCTCACTGACATGCTGTCTAGACAGCCTGATTATAATATTATTAATGCAGAGAAGGATTCTACAAAAGAACCTCTGTTATCACTGCAGAAGAAGCTGGCTGCAGGGGATTGAGATTCTCTAAAGCTCAGGAACAGCGCCGGAGAGGCAGCTGCGCGACTTAGTATAGAAGGTGGAAGAGAATCTGAGTTCTCACAGAGGACTGACACTGAAGATCATGAGCTTCTCATGTCATATCTTGCAATCATTGAATTGACAAAGAACAAAACAGTCTACAATCTTTCAATCTGACTACTTTTGAAATTCATTGATAAGTTACAGAAGAGGGACATCTCTACTATAGCTTGAATTCAGAAGTTGAAGAAGAAAGAGTCTGATTTGAACTTGAAAGAGACAGACTCTGAGTGAGATGATGCTGCTAAGAAATCAAGTCACTGATAACTAGAAGAATGTGAACTTCTACTGCTGAATGATTCAGTCTTCATCTCTTATAGTAGAGTGATGTGCCAGGAGTTATTGAGAATTCATCATAATGATTCCCATGCAGAGCACTTCAGATTAGAGAAGACTGAGAAGCTTCTAAAATGTAAATACACTTAAGACAAGCTCTGAGCAGATATCAAAGAGTATGTTGAAACTTGCAATATCTGTTAAAGAATAAAGATCCTGCAGCATAAGTAATACAGTGAGTTGATATCACTGTCTGTTTCAAAGAACTCATGATAGAATCTATTGATGAATTTCATAGTTGACCTGCTGAAGTTAACAAGAGTCAAAGAATATGACTTAATTTTAGTCATTATTGATCACTTCATGAAGATGACCAGATATATCTCTACTCACAAAAAGATTAAAGCCTCTGAATTGACTGATCTGTTTTTAGATATCATCATTTGTAATCACAATGCTCTGAAATCATTGATAACAGATTGAGAATCCCTCTTCATCAGCAAATACTGATTGACTTTTTACTATCATCTTATAATAAGATGTCTTCTCAGTACTGCATTTCATTCACAGACTGATGATCAGACTGAATATCAGAATCAGACACTAGAACAGCATCTTTAAGCATTCTATTTATATTATCAGAATAATTAGCTCAAACATCTTCTGATCACTGAATTCACATATAACAATGTAAAGAATACAATCTTAAAGATATCTTCTTTCTATGCTTGTTATGAATATAATTCTTCATTATTCAGTGACATCACAGATGACATTTCAAAGAGAGGAATAGACAGTCAAAATGTCAGACAGATACAGAGAATGAAGTATTCCTCAGTATCAGAAGTAAAAGTGAGATTGAAACTTTTAAACAAAATTCATGAGAAGATGATGAAAAGCATTCATCACACTCAGAAGTGATAGATGAAATACTACAATTGAAAACATCTTTCAATGAAGTTCTTGATAGAGAATCAAGTGCTACTTTCAGCAAAGAATATCAAGACAATAAGATTATATAAGAAGCTCAGTGAGCAGTGACTAGAATCTTTCCTAATAATAAGAGTGATGAATAAGCAGATATATGAGTTGAAATTACTCACAGAATTGAAATCAATTCATTCTGTTTTTCACATTTTCTATTTGAAGCTCTATAAGCAACATCTCAGAGTGAAGCTGCCTCAGCTGAATAATATTGAGATTGAGAGTGATACTGAATATCTTATAAAGAAAATATTGAATAAGTGAATACATTACAGCAAGCTTCAATATCTTGTTAAATAAGAAGATTATTCATTATCAGAGAATTTATGAGAATCACTTGAGCATTTGAAAAATGCTGAGAAAGAGATTACAATCTATAAGACAGCTAATAGAGACTGTCTCATTACACATCAGAGACATTGAGCAAGAAATACTGCTTGAGACTTCTCATTTTTCTTAAAGGATTTTTTTAGAGATGATCTTGCAGTGATGAGCCAACATCTTGTAGACTCTGTAGCACTCTTCTCCTATTTTCTCTCAAAGAGTTTTTAGAAGTTTAATGAGACTACACAAGTGTAACATTTCTGAAGCAGTTAAAAGAAAAGAAATATTTGAAATCAATAAAAAGATTAATATTATCAACTCACAGATCACTGCTATTCTAATGAGGCTGCAGCCTGCTGAAAAAGTAAAAAGAGGGATCAGAATCTACTTATTAATAATCATATCTTTATCAAACTCATTCTTCATTATTGAAGTCTCTGACACTGATATCTTTGTCTGCTGAGAAGTTAGTGCTGTGATGCTGCAGAGAAGCATGCTGCAGAAGAGTATAAGAAATGCATAAAATATCAACTTATCAACTTACAAAG